TGTTTATTCTATAATAGACAAGGATCTTGTGTAGTTTAATGTTAATTTTGCTGGTTTTATGAAATATTGTGTACAATGGTAGGAACTATTTTACCTTCTTAACATTCAATGCTAATTCAGAATGTTTGCTTACCTTCCTGAAATTCAGTGCAACTTAAGAGTGTTTCCTTACGAGTAAATTTTACAGGTTACTGTTAGATAATCTTTATTTGTGAGAGTAAGTACTTGGTACTTCTGGAGACCTGGATGGCTCACTTGGTGAATAGTAGTCCAATGGTGCATTCTCATTTGGGCAATGGCTCAAGAAAGTAGTTGTGATAATGGATTTTTGTCTCCTTAAGCTGTTATTGGGTGAAGCAAATAAATTTAAGAAATCGGTGAATGATATTCCATCTTTGGGTGAGTTTAGGTGAGTGTACAAAATCTTTCTAAGCAATCTTACCATCAGTAGCAGGTGTTTTCGGTTCAACCATTCATGTAATGACTTATTCTACAAATTTGTTCCTAGTTCCCCATCTCAATGGATGGTGTCAAGCCTGTTGTTTCATAGTTTGTGCTCATCTGGATCCAGTATTTGTGTAGAGTTTCTTGCATGTGCTTATATAATATCTAAAGACTGAATATGTGACCATCTTTTGTATGCAACTTTTTGACTGAGGGCATTTTCACTTGGGCCATATATCATGCGGGCAGAATAACATTATATGTTTATGTTCTTTGGGAATTTATGATTACGCGTAAATGCTGCTGAGGTATGAGTTTTTAGTTTCCTTGGATATTTTAATGTTGGCTTCATTTGGCCGTCTACATTGACATAAATAGGATAAATAAAATTTTGGACCAAGTGTATCTTCTTTTGAAGTGAGTCATTTTATGCCTTAAGTATTTGTAGCCAGGATAGATATGATCTTTAAAAAATACATGATGTATGCATGCCACCCAAGTTATATAAATAAATAAATGAAAAAGGAAAAGAATTAGCAGAGGGACCGGAACTCCTGTAATTATAATGGAGGTTATGAATTCATCACTATCTTATGTTCCCAATTTATATCAAGAAAATGCATGGACTGATCATTTGATTTTTCCCAATTGCAGGCATTCGCTCATGAAAGTCTTTTGCATTGCTTTCCTGCTGACATTTTTCAGCGCCTTTGACGTGCCTGTATTCTGGCCAATTCTTCTTTTCTACTGGTTGGTTCTGTTCATTTCGACCATGAAGAGGCAAATAATGCATATGGTTAAATATAAATATGTCCCATTTACTCTAGGGAAGCAGGTGTGTTTCTCACTCAGCTGATTATAACCTTGTAATACCTACTATATTTATCCATTTTTCTGTTTTATTATTTTGATTATTATGAACTTTCTGCTTATCTAAATAAATATTTTCACAATTTTCAATTCAGCGTTATGGAAAGAAGGCAGCCCCAGCTGATGAGTCGAGCACTGCAAGGCCTTAAATTCTTCAGGTAGATTGGGGTCTAAAAATTCTGAAGATGTACTTATGTTAAAGGGTCAACAGAATATGTTACCGTTGTATTCTTTTAGCATTCCATGTTTTAGGCGCATTCAGTGGAAACTGTAGCTCACTAGTTTACCTTTTAGTAAAATTTATTTTACCACAGTTTTAGCCGCCATTAGTTATCTCCTGCCGCTGCTATCACATTTTTGTGAATCAGATTCTTATATACCATTTGATCGATAGGTCATTCACTTTCAGATAAACTGTAGAAATGCCGTTAGATTTACATTACTTTCCATTCACTCTATTTGCATACTTAAAACACTGGTGTATCTTATCACACACAGTGGTCCTATCTTTAATCTCAAAGAGAAGAAATAAACAAATGAACTTCTGGTCACTCCATTAGGCTGTGCTTCCGGCAGGCTTTTAGATGAGTGCCTTTCAGACCAAAAAAAATAGAAAAAAAAATATAATTCTGATTATAAAATAAGCTGTGGGAAATGACTTGAACACAAATAGATGACTAACAAGTAACAATGGACACCAATTGGAATAAGTGAAACACTACATAAGTGTGATGAGCATCAATTGGAGTTTTCTTATTGAAATAGTTGGGACCTAAAAGATAAGGGAGAATGTAGGGCTCGTTATTATTGGATGACGAATAGGTCCACGGGCATATGATGTCCCTGTAGAACGAGAATTTGTAGCTGTCAAGTCTTTGTACTAGACTCCACAATTTGGTTGCATTATTTTCACCTTTGATATCATGTGTAGGGGTACTATATTACATAAGGAGTCATATAACCACTTATTCTAGCTACTGAGACAGGAGGTTGTTAGCATAATTGCTCCACCGTAATGAAATATTTATTTTTTTAATAACAATTGTCGGTATTAGTTAACTTGCAATCCATATTTGCCAGGGATATACTTGCAGAGCATCTTATTGTCATCTTTGATATGCTTTGGAATATTTAGTTTCTCAAGCCTAAATCAGGAAAAGATAATGTTAATCGGTTTATGCTTATTCCCTGTAACTAGTTTTGACTTTTGTGTTGCCAAATGTGATAGAACTGAAGAGAGATGGAAAGGATAAATCTTTTTAGCTTGTAGCAATTAAGATTCTGAAAGGTTAAACCAAAGCTGGGGAGATGATCATGAGCTGATTAATTGCACCTAAAAGAAAATGGTATAATAAAAGAGGGGAAAANGGGAAAAAAAAAAAAAAACCATTCGAAAGGACAATGGGGTCTGCTTGGCAAGTTTTTGATGGGTGCTCTGGCACTCAGTGATAAATAAGGTAGAGGACCACCATTTTACAAGTCTTGTGCGAGTGACCCCGGCTTTCCCTGTTCAAAAAATTTGGATTCTTTCTCATCATTCAAATTTTTGCTTAGGTTATTCTGTATTTTGTTCTTTAATACATGATTTGTTTTTCAATTATTAAGTCATTAACGATGGTTTTCTAGCCATTAGGTGGAGTCGGCCCTTACTGATATGGATAGTTGTAGCTGATCGAATCTAGTTTACATTACGTGTTCTTATGTAGAGCTAAAAAACATGCATATTTTAAATTTTTTTTTTGCTTAATGATGCCAGTAATTGATAACCTGGGGGACCTTATTTAACATAATTAGATGAATGTTCGTTGGGATTTTATTTGTGTATGAAGAGTCTTGTCATGGTAAAAGAGACAAAGGCTGAAATCAAACTCTGTTTTATGGACAAGAGAAGTTGCCCTGCTTCAAGTGATAAAGAACTCAATCCATTTTTAGAGAGGACCACACCAACTGCATGGCCGTATTTCTCACTGTAGAACAAAGGCCTTTTTGGCTAGTTTTGAAATCTTTTTACTGGTCGAACGAAAATAATAATTTGAAATATTTAAGGCTTGTTTGGATGGTAATTTTATCCGTATTTGGTAGTATCTTGACAAGGGGTTCTAGAAACTGGGTCTGTATTTATAATTTTTTCTGTGATTTTGGTTTTTAGGTACAAAGAGAATAAATTTGGTTATGTCTTTTATGTTACAATTTGTTATCAGAATTACAAACCAAATCTATAACATAATGATGCAAAAAAATGTCACCCCTGGTGCTTATAGACTGTTCTTATAGAACTGAAAATTCTACATAAAATCTTTGGACGTCGGTGGTGGAACTTAACTCTACTTGAAACTATCATTTATTTCAAATTTGGAGAATTATGGTCTGCAACGATACACATAATTTAAATTGAGGCATGCAACAAAGGAACATCCTGTTGGGTTCTTTCTTTTTTATTTTTTTTTTTTTTATTATTTTTTTTAACAAGACAAAAAACGCATGCCATATCTTCAGTTCTTCTTCTTCCATTATACACTCCATTAAGGCTGTGTTTGGTAAGCCAGATAAGTTAGCTTATAGCTTATTTGGTTAGCTTATAAGTTCCTTGTATTCAAATAAGTCTCGTTTGGTAGGACGAGCTTTTTTAAAAAGTTCGAGCTTATCTCATAAGCTACTTTAGGTAGCTTTTCAAATAAGTTAGTTGAATTATTTATTTCAGCTAGCTTATCAGATAATTTTACCAAACACTTTTATCATATAAGCTAGCTTTTCAGTTATAAGTCATAAGCTATAAGGTAAAAAATTACAAATAAGCTATAAACTAGCTTATAAGCTATCAGCTAATTTTACCCTAAATTTTCAAAAACAAAAAACAAAAAAAATGTTAAATGCTTTATTTAAGGCATTAATCTAGCCTGCAACATGAAGAATGCCAATCATAAGTATAAATTTGATAAGTTAGATAATGAGTAAATTTGATAAGTATAAATGAAGTATTATTTTTAAAATCATAAGTTAGATAATGAGTCTAGCACGTTTTATAAGTTTGATCATTAATAAAAATATAAATCACTGTATACATGGTATAAAATATAATAAATAATGTAAATTTTACAATTTAAGTTTGATCATTAATAAAAATATAAATCACTGTATACATGGTATAAAATATAATAAATAATGTAACTTTTACAATTTTAAGGATGATGGCTCGAGTTGAAAAATATTATACAATTACTGCTATGCCAATCAATTAGTGACAAAAAAACTTTCTTATATAAAGTGTTTTGTAAGTGTGCCATTTTCATGAACCTTCTAATATTAATTTATAATTAGTTTATTTTGATAATAATTATGATATGATAGAATGACTAAAAAATATCACTACATATAAGTCATTCAAAATATAATGGTTTGTTTCCACTGTTAAATAAAAAAAACATTGTGGATAAAATTAATTTTGGATGGTCCACAATTATTTTATACATCCAAATTTATTTACAAATTTTCTGGCATGTTCTTTTCATTTTATTTGTTTCTAATGAGGTGGAGGGGATTGTAGATCTTGTGCTTATTATTTTAGTAATTTCGAATATACTTCTCTACGTATGTAGAGAGAGTCCACCTCACCTAGTTAATTGCACCAGACAAAGTCCTCTATTATTACTTGTATTCAAACTTAGTATATAAATGCGACATCAATAATTTAAACTGCTTCATCAGGTCACCTTACGACCGTCAATTCCTTTTTCAATTTCGTTTTTTTTTCTCCTTCAACTAAAAGTTAAAAAACCACAAGTTGAAGTCTTTTCTCTTCATATCTCCTCCTTAATTTCTCTCATCATTGAGTAACAATGGAGAATGGGCTGCCAATGCTCAACTGCTTATTACAGCACACACTCAGAAGCTTATGCTCCCAATCTTCTAATTCCTCAAACCCTTCAAAATGGGTATATGCTGTCTTTTGGAGAATCCTCCCAAGAAATTATCCACCTCCTAAGTAACCACTTCTTTTTTTTTTAATTATTATTATTATTATTTTTTTTGCTATTTGAGTTATGGATCTGAAACTTTAACCCGTCNATGTGTGTGTGTATTTCTTCCAGGTGGGACCATGGAGGAAGCCTGCTCGATCGAGTTAAGGGAAATAAAAGAAACTGGTATAATAATTTTCTTGAAAACTACTATATATCAAGTTTGTATTTTTTTCGATGAAAAAGAAAAATGTAACTAGCAATTTTTGGTTTGTAGGATTCTTGTATGGGAAGATGGGTTTTGTGATATTTGCGAGTGTGAAAGAGAAGGCCGTAAATGCTCGGGTACAAGATTTGGTGCAGATATTTTCTTCAAAATGGCCCATGAAGTCTATAATTTTGGAGAAGGGTAAACACTAACTAAACACACCCTGTTTCTATTTTTCTAATTTTTTATTTTTTTATTTTCCACATTTAAGTCGATACTGTTGTTTTCGTGCTGCAGAGTTGTAGGCAAAGTTGCATCCGATTACGGCCACAAATGGGTTTATAGAGACAGCCCAAAAGAAATTGATCCTAACTTCATCTCTTCATGGAATATGTCCATTGACCCTGTAAGAAAGTATTTAAGCTTAAAAATCTTGTCATATTTTAGTTAGTGCATTAAGAAAACTCCTTAATTTCTTCAATTGCAACATATTATTAACAGCAACCAAGAGCTTGGGAGGCTCAATTCAGCTCAGGCATTGAGGTTAGCAAATTTCTAAAAGTAAAGACTCTCTGCCTTTTCCTGTTATTGCATTATCAGTTCTTTTTACGAAAGTTTCTAAGTATGGCAGACTATCGCAATCATATCCGTTAAAGAAGGAGCTGTTCAACTCGGCTCATTTGATAAGGTAATATTATTTATTATTAATTCTCCCCTTTATTCATAAGGAAAACTGACGGTGGTTATTGTTACATATTTTGTGAGATCGATTACTCCATTTTTGAATGTTGTGTTCATGTAAAAAACATTGAGCTATGATTATTTAGTGACATTTAGGTCGGTGAAGATCTAAATATGGTCATGAGCATACAAAGAAAACTAAGCTACATACAGAGCTTACCGGGCATACACGCATTACAAAGGCCATACCAACCGATCCAAGACTCGAACTTTCCTAACTATAACAACTCCCAAAGACTAATAATGCAAAATTATGAGATCCCATCAAATGGTTTGCCTACTAAGTCCATCCTTTTAGGGTATAATCTTTTGCACTCAAATGGCAATCTTGGAGCACTTTTTACGAACACACCCTTTGTTCAAATACCATATTGTGGTCCCGAAGGCATTGCGAATATTTTACAAAGTAACAATTTGAAGGGCGAAGAATATGATGTGGCGTTCGATGAGATCTCGGCAGTTGATGTTAAGGTGGGTATATTGGCTAGTAGTATGCCAAAGGACGAGCTTCAAGATGAAAAGCATAACCAGGATAGTGTTGCAAGTCGTGATTGACAAGTATTTTATAGTTCATTTGTTTGTTTTTTCAGAAGCAATTATGTGCAGGAAGTTGTTCATATTGTAAAGCAATGATACACTGTTGTGATTATGCATTCATTATATTAATTTATACATATTGTGAAATGATTTTTTCCGCTCTCTTGATTATGATGGTGGCTCTTCTTGTTATAAGATCCAATTTAAACTAGTAGTCCCACGAGGACATTAAAATTAAATATTAATGGGTAGAATGATTAAAATCATATATCAGTTGTCTATAAGATGAGCATCTATATTTCATTTATCGATAGTCTGTAAGTTGATAATGAAGCTTTTATACACTCTCTGAAGGATCTCATATAGGTTAGCAATAAAGTTTTTATATACTCCCTGAAGGATCAACACCGATGTAAGTATCTCCTATAATTTGGACAATAAAATTTTGATATGCTCTCTGAAATATCAACATCGATATAAGTATCAAAATAAAAGAATGTTTACACTATGTTAAGGTGTTATCAAATATTTTATGATTTGTTATGAATAGTGTGTATTCCTGAAGTAATACATGAAACTGATTAATAAAATTCAACCAAATCAATACTCATGGACGCAATATATTATTAAGTTATATAATAATAGTTCATTGATATTATATTAGTGTCAGAAGCACGCACACAAAAATATAATTTGTCACATTGGATATATGATAGAAAATTATCTTTAGGCTATGTTTGGTAACACTAACTGATAAGCTAGCTTATAGTTTATCCATAATTTTCGAACTTATAGCTTATAGCTTATGACTTATAGCTGAGAAGCTAACTTATATGATAAAAATGTTCGGTAAAATTAGCTGATAAGCTAGATGAAATAAAAATTTCAACGAACTTATTAAAAAAGTTACCCAAAGAAGCTTATGAGATAAACTCGAGCTTATTAAATAAGCTCGTCCTACCAAACGAACCTTATTTAAATACAAGAAGCTTATAAACTAACCAGATAGCTATAAGCTAGCTTATTTGTCTCCCATTTTCTTTGGCTTAAATTGTCATTATTTGTATATGAGCAAATCTTTTGCGATATGTATCCTATTATTATTGACATTACTTGTTAAGTTTTGAAAGTGTTAACAAACATAAGATATGTCCAGTAGACATTATCTTCTAGATAAAGATTATTTTCGATGATGAAGGGGGACAAATATTATATTTGAATAAGAATTATCTTGCAAGTTTTCTTGAAAGATTGATCTAATGAATAATCTCGTTAATTTTAGATAAATAGTCTAATTTACTAATTGACCAAGTAAATTGTATGCAACTTGTATAGTTATTTTCTAAATTTGTCATGAATTGCATAGTAAATATTCTGTTGAATTGTATACCTATATATTTGAGTTTACCTGAAGGAATTATATAATTAAAAGTATCACTAGTGAATTTGAAAACCATATTGACCTGGTTATCCGTAGAAGATTGGTCTTGTTGACCAATATCATAGTTCATGATTTTTTATTTTAAATCAGCTTTGCATATTCAATATATTCTTTATGAATTTATGTAACCAAAATGTTAAGAAGATCGAATCAATCTAAAAGTTTTCTCAATTATTTATGTTTGTTTGTATATTTGATAAGATGCATACCATTGAATTATATTGTTGATAACTACAATCATAAATTTATATGTAGTGTCCAAAACACGTGCTCTTTAATAGAAATAAAATAAACTAAAATAAAATATACAAGTAGATACAATAAAAGGCTCACAACCAAAAGTTCACTTGGAGTGGCTGAAACAAATAGTGCTCACTTAAAAAATGATTAAAATTCAATATTCAACTTATATTTGATAATTAGCACGAACAATTAGAGTATATTAGACACTTTTTTATGATATTTTTTCACAAAAGGTGCATTGAAAATCCAACATTTTTAATCTATGATTTACTATTACTTTATTATGCAACATTTTATATTACCACCAACTTTTACCTTTATGAACAGATATTAGAAACTAGTTATGCTATGATTTTTATACTGTTGAAATTGAAATAATGCATAGAATACTAAAGCATCTTCAAATTTATGAACCAAACCACAATCATTAATTGTTGATACCGACTGGGATGACGAAAGCCACCGCGTCCTTCATTACTAAAATGGAAAGTAAAACTATACAATAATCAGACCACATTAATCAGTTTTTGCTGTTCACCATGTTCGAATGTTCAGACGCAAACATTACTATAACCATTAACATTATTTGGAGCCTTCCCTCAACGAAAGATGATAGGCATTTAGTCAAGCAAGGTGCAATTCAGATACCATTTCAAAGTTTGAGTACCAAAATAACTTGCTCCAACTAAGGAAATCTGCCCATTCACCGTCGATTGAGATTTGCAGATAACATATAATTCTCAAGCACTGCTCCTTTTCCCATCCTTGCCCAAACTCGCAATCGGCTTGGCAAGAATATGCTTCATTGCCTTCACCCCAAGCGGATTACCCTCACTCTGCATTAATTATTTAAAAACACGAATCCGTAAATATGGGAAGAAAAATATAACCAAAAAAAAAAACAAAAAAAAGAAGACTTCGACTCACAATTGAGCACGTGCCAGCATTAATATTGCAAACCGGATACTCGTGCGGGCAGCAACTATAATGATCCTCACAGCAAGTGGCCCCTTCAAGCGGGCAGCAGCCCCACGCAAAGCAATATTTACCATACTCATAAACACAGCAGCAAGTGGTACTCTCCGGACACGAATAATACTCGTCACACACAGAAGGTGGTGCCACAGGAGATGGTGGGGAAGGCCCGGGATTTGGCGGGTTCTCCGCAGTCTTAGTCGGGTAAGAAGCCTCAACCGCTATCCCACAAAGGCCCGATTTTGCCCCCACATTTCGCTCCATTCGTATGTAGCCCTTCTCACCCCACGATGACCCCCACGAGTTGCGGACGATCCAATAATCCTTTCCGTTTTCCGTGCCGTACCCTACGGCGGCGACTCCGTGGTCTAGCTGGACCCCACATCTTCCCGTGAAGATGCCCTGATTCGTCAAATTTTTAATAATTAATTTGTTTCTTCAGACGTTGAATGTTCGTGAGTTTTGTGTACTTACTGATTCATAGAGTTGGAAGTCCCTGCCACCGGCCTCTATGGCGACAGCCACTGGCTGGTTGGCAACTGCTTTCTGAAGGGCCTTCTCGTTATATGTAGGCACGTCCTCGTAGCTATCGATCGTTACAACTTTCGCATTTTTCTGTATGTACGTAAAAATAATAATAATAATAATAATAACACACCTATAAATCTCAACAGAACAAAAGTTTGAAAAAAAAAAAATTGGCTAACCCTGTTCACGTCACATCTGCCATCCCTGGCTTTGTACGGGTAATCTTCTTCGGAATCAATGCCGCCGTTTTTAATGATGAACTCGAAAGCATAGTCCATGAGACCCCCATTGCAGCCTTCATTGTACGACGTGTCACAATCCACGAGCTCTTGCTCGGAAAGAGAGATTAAGTCACCAGTCACTATCTGGTTTATGCCCTCCACCGCCGCAATTGTCGAGAATGCCCAGCAACTCCCTTTTAAAAATTTAAATATATTTTTATTTTTGATGAATTTATAGCCAAGATTGACGAAGATAACAATTCAAAAGGGCTACACATGTTTATTCTAGTTCCACAATAAAATCAAATGATAATTAGTTACACATGTTAAGTCAAAGCTTTTAGCCTATGTATCAAGAACTCAGGTGGCTCCTAATAACATATATCCACTCTTTCATTGAATCCAGATACTTATTACAATGAGACAAAAATCTTTCATTAACTAACTAACCATCGAGGATAGTTTTATTAAATATATATTACCAGCTTATTTTGTGGGAGGACCAAGGCCTCTTTTGTAAATGGGAGTGGAGCAGAGCCAATTTAGAAGCATTGTTAGAGTAACTCCACCCATTCCTTTGTCAAATTCTCTAACTTAGTCTGTCAAGAGAACTCCTAACTTGTTTTCTAATTGAAAATACATGATCACAGAATTATTTTTTTCGAAGTTCACTGCTTTGTTCTGTTCCTTATTATTATTTAAATTATTTTCATTGTCCAAACAAAAAAAGATTTAGAGTATGAATGCTTGAAAAATTTTCAACCTCATGATCTTAATTTAGTTCAACAATTAGTTTATTGTCATTAGATGGTTTTCTTTTAATTCAAGAACTAGTTTATCTACATAGATGATGACATGAGAAAAAATCGTGGGGCATAAGACTAGAGCATACTAGTAACACAAAATTAAAGAGTAGCATTTTGTTTATTTAGTTTGCTAGCAATGTAAATTGAGTCGTGTGGAAGAGGTCCACCTAATAAAAGACATCAATAATTACAATATGCTAGTTTGTTTGACAAAAGGGACAGCACAATAATGTCACAAACAAAACAATTGATTCAAATTTTTAATTAATTAAGACTTTTCTACCTAACCCACCAATTATGCTGTTAGGTTGATAATGTAGTTGGCAGTCATATTTTAATACAAATACAAAAAATGCAAACTGACATATAATATAAATACAATATTGTCATCAGATGTATTTATATGTATTTTCATTAAAAATAAAAACGCTATTTATATTAACATTTGTACAAATTATAGCACTAATATTAAAATAGCATCGTACACAATCAAAAATAGCATCAAATAATTATAATGACTCTAACAATACAAATAGGTTAATTGCTAATCAAAAAGCAGGCCAATCAATCCTGCAACACATTTGGATTAAGAGTAATCATGTATAATACTCCAAGACTTTTTAGCTCTTGATTTCACACACCATACACTCACATGGATAAGTGTACCTATAGGGGCAATATCGTATCTCCCTCAATTACATTGAATTGTCCATCGATTTGAGTTTAATTCGAGTTTGCCATAGTAATGTATAATAATTGCAATTCAATTACAAGACTCATTCAAAAGTTTAATACAATTACCAAAAGTAAATAAAATTTATTTCTTTTTTACTTGACTTAAAATTCATAATAATTGATTGTCGGTCACAATATCAACTCCAAAAAAGGGAATTGAATTATTAGGTAAAATATAAAGATGAAGAATGAAAGTGCAAATCAAGTTGACATACATATAATTTCGTGTAAAATATATATCTAAATTAATCTACTTTAAACTTTAGTGGTACCTGTCCATACAATTATCAGAAATTTTACCATCCATAGCACACACCAACAATAGTGAATACCAACACCACAAAATCTAAACAAAACAATAATCATGAATAACAAGCAAAAAACGCATAAATAAAAAAATCTATTATGTATGGCCAAGAAATTAGTAAAAATGGAAGAAAATAGCTTACCACAGCTCCCCTGATCTTTAACGCCGACGACGGCGCCTTTCTCTCTCCAGTCAACGGAGTCCGGCAAGCTATCCCCCACCTTCGGCTCGTACCGATCGCTTTTGGCGCCGGCAAGCCGCCGCTTTCCGTCCGGCCTGACGCCGAGGAACGTCTTCCGATACTCCTCGTTGGTCAGATCGGCGAACCGGTTCAGTCCGAGCCGGTGCGACCGGTCCGCCGCCGAGTTCTGCTCGTCGATGTAACGAAGATTATCCTTAAAGATCTCGAAGCGCTTCTCCTTCTCGCCGAGGGCGTTGTAAGAGCGGCCGTGCTTCACCAGCCACGCCTCGAACATCGACATAACCTCGTCTTCGGGCCGGGGGCCCGGCCCTCCGTGGTGCTCCCGATCGTAGGATATGATGGACATGTCGGCGGCCCATGATGAAGCGATGCAGAGAGAGAACAAAAGCAGATATTTTGTTTTAGAATCCATGCCTTCTTTTTACTTCCTTCTTTTGTCGTATGAAGAAAATGAATGTCGATGGAGGAAAGGAAAGGGAATAATTATATCGACTCACTCAGTGAGGGGTATTATCGGAAATTCGTCTAATTATACTTGGTTATGAAAAATATAAATAGTTAGATAGCTTGTGGGGTTGAGAATGTGTGCGTGTATAATTGGTTGCGGTGGGAAATTGGACTAATTTATTGAGTAATTACTAATTAGTGAGGCTTTGAAAAATATTAGGGTGAAAAAAGGAAAATTAAAGAAAATAAAAGGGGTAAAATAAAGAAACACAGCTGTATGGAAATGTGGATGAGTTGTGATTGGTCCAAATGGAAAGTAGTAATAGACAGCAACCCAAAAGGCGTCTAGGTGAGACCAAAAAAATAAAAATATATTAATTTGGGAATATCTGCCAAAATAATCACCCTATTTGCTCACAATATAAAAATAATTATCCTTGTTCTGACAATATATATTTATTAATTGCTTTCAACAAAATTGATGGATTAAATTGAAATATTGAACATATTTCAATATACATGTATTAATTGAAATAATCAATTTATAGTCTGACTTTTATTCTGGTTTAAAACGGTAAAAGATTAAGATAAATGCAGATATTTTTGGGTGTGGTAGTAGAAGTGGAGGAAAGTTGGGCACGTCATGCTTATCGATAAGCGGTCGATACGGGATTTCTCTTGTCCTATCTTCAATTTCACCATCATTTGAAGGCACCTTTAGTGTACTAGTTCTGTAAACTATACACATTTTCATGTGAAAATTGGTCCGCATGACCTTCTGCATACAATATATTGTCTAACTGACCTTTGACAAATTCGAATGATTTTGGTTTCAAATTATCGACTATTAAAATTTAAATAACGCAAAATGAAATACCAAGTTAACACGTAGAACAAACAAGATTTAAGAAGTTAGGGTGTCGGGATATCCATTTTGGTTCGAAAATGCAATTATCAAGCAAGAGATTGTTCGGTTAAGTGATTTGACTAACCAGCTCTTTTACTTCTTCACATTGACTGTAGCCAAGCCAGTAGATAGATTGTGAATTTACTTAACATAGATAGATTTCATTTACATATATAATCTAGATTTCATTGATGAGCTACCATCAATTGAAAATTAAGTCAGTATTAAGTATAAGTTAAGCTTTGGGCGTCTCTGATCGCTTGGGATATTGCCGGCGTCAAGGCACCGCCTTTGTGTGGGCTTAATTGCTTGTGGGAAAGAAAGGAGCCCAGTGCATTGGACCGATGGATAAGAGAACTGAGCTTTCGCTCCTCTCCAATGAAAAAAATGGATTTACCCATTCTCAATAACTTTTCGTAACAAGAGAACAAACTTAAACGACAAGTTAACAAGTCACTTAACACCTAGGTAATACAATTACGAACAAGCCTAGTTTATACGAGCCTATTTCGACCAAACTCCTCTCCTTTCGGTTCTAAGAGTCGATTAAAGAGGGCTAGAAGGGGTTTAATCAACTAGTCCGTTTAGAATAACAAACATCAAGCAAGAATATATCAAACTCAATTGAAAACAATTGGGGATTGAAGTGTCACCTTTCAACAATTCTCAATGCTCGAGCCCGACAATTGAAAAACCTTAGAAAAAGATCAACTCGTACAAATAGAACAATCACGAATATGATGATTGCAAACGAATTCAAAACATCAATCCTCTATCCCTAGCATAAGGATTTAGCTATTCATAATCAATTCAACATCAACAATAATCTCAATCAAAGAACTCATATTTAACGATAAAGTTAAAAGAGAAATCATACGATTGATAAATCCCGAAATTGAATCTGATAAACAAGCTTGAATCTAAAAGCAATACTGAAATCCAAGTTTAAATCCGTGTTCTACGTTGAAAAAGATGAAGAATAATGAAAGAACGAGAGAAAGAGAGACGGGTAGGGTTTTCTGTGTTCGTCGAAATGAGAGATCCCATATGTTGCAGTCCTATCTAATATTTATATGTCCAGGGACTCGCGGCGCGGAGAGATGGATGCACGGCGCGCAGAGATCATGTGCCGCGGCGCGGGAAGGTGCAGCGGCGCGGAGGACTCATCTGCCACGGCGTGGGAATATCGGTGCGGCGCGGAGGCTAGGGATGCCGCGACGCGGGTTTCTCAGCGGCGTGGAGAGTGGATTGGTTGGTCGTCTCTATCCAGGCGTGGCGGTCTCAGCGAGGTGTGGCGAGGCACGAGGATCCTGCTATGCCGCGGCGCGACGGACAGCACGGCGTGGTGGGCGAAGCAGCATCTTCTGAAGTCCCGTGACGGGTGACGCTAGATGGGCCGCGGCGTGAGGGTGGCACTGGGCAGCCTACTGGATGTTGCTTCTCGGGCCCGTTCGAGCTCATTTGGATTCGGAATTCGATTCTGTTTTCTCCTGTGTGATGCCAACGAACTCTTCTACGAGATTATGCTCGTCAAATCAATTTTCTCCTCCATATCAAAATCGACCATGGACTCAACCTGCACACCACATACGAAAAAAAATCGAAAGACGATCGAAAAAACAGAAGGAAAACCAACATAAAGGAAAACATGCAATAACCTATAAAACGAACCAAAAACTAACGAAAACACCTAATATGGGGGAAAAAGAAATGAAAAATAAGAAGGAAAAACGTAACAAAAATGGGACAAACAACTTCGACCAGCTGAAAATCGATTCGCCTCCCTCCTCCTCGTCGGTAGAACGCCGCGTACCTGCAAAGAACTCACAGCGGAGGAGTTTTCCGGTGAAGAGCCTCTGATGCTTAAGTCAGTATATGCTCTACTCAAATCTCAAGAGTAAGAATGGATAAATCGTGCTCAAAATGTAAAGCTCACCCCTATATATAAGATTGAGATACCTGCTTTTAGAGGCTACCTGGGTTAGCTAAGTTGGCTGCCCGTCCTGCCCGTTCGTACACATATAGTGTGCGTGTATAAAAAACGGTTATCACCATAGACAAATCTGATCGAGCCACGTGTCCTCCGCACATGGGGTAAAGATTCCTTTATATTCTCCTCAAAGGCTCTTTGTATTCTCCACAAAGGTTCTTGTGCTCGACCGTATCTAGGTCGATTCCTGAACTGCTCTCAGTCTGTGAATGATCGATCAGATGACCCTTTGCTCGATAGGTCATTCCTCGTCCAGATTCTTCATGCACCTGAGAGCGACCTATTCTTCTCGTATAAGAGTCCCCCGTACCATGTTCTCGTGATGCTCGACCATAACCACTCTGCTCGATTTTGTTCAGCCGAGACGGCTCATTCGGTTTGCTTAACTCGTTCGACCGGCCTAGTGAACCGGTTTACTCATTTTGGTATAATATCCCATATCAAGCTATTTTTTATTTTTATAAATTAAAATCATCCAATTTTTTTTAAGCGCTTTCATATCCCAATTTCAATGTATAATTCATACCAATTTATTAAATGACCAACTATTAATCAAATTGCTTATCAGATTAGAAGAGAAATCCAAATATTATCCTATATCATCTTTTTTTCTTTGATATTTAATTTTTCTATCAAACAATTAGTAGAAAATCATATTCCCATCATATATTTATTTGTTATTAAAATCAAATTCAATATTATTAAAGTAACAAATTAGACAACAGAACGTTTAAAATTGAGTACAAAATCTCAATTTACGTCATCCCATCAGAAATCTATAAACAGATCGATTTTGTACATTTTGAAGAACACCAACAACGAAACATTTTAACCAGTAAGCACAAAAAAACACCACAAACCAAATTACCAATTCATATAAAAAAACATTAAAATTCTATTTCTTAATTCCTCCGGCTCCCACATCTGAACCGCCGCCACCCGTCAAATATCTTGAATAAATAAGTAACATCATGTGAACGCTGAAGTTGTAAGGTAAGTAAATAAACCACCTTCAAATGATTCAATATGACCACTTGGGTCTACGTTGCCACGATATTGTTATACGGAAGCGGGCATGATGTTTAGATGCTCGGCCCGAATTTTTTGGTGTCGTAACAGTAGCCACCTCCACCACTCCTGCCGCCATAGCCATCGCATTCACGTTGGCCTCCACAGCAACCGTCGTTACCCCCACCATACCCACCTCCCCGCCCTCATGATGCGGCCCACCTCAAAACCCACCACCGCCTCCACCACCATGCAACTGCGGGACTGGCCCTTGTTCACGGTGATATTCCGATCGTCGAGCTCTTGGGAAGGAAAAAGAAGCAAGGGAAGAAGAAAAATGTAAAAAGGAAAAGAAGAGGGGGATGACAGGAAAAAGAATAGTCATCAATATAAAATTTGGTAGATAAGTCTATTTAATGGTGAATCTTTAAATATTTGATAGCCAAATTTAGATTATATCACATAAGGAAAAAACTAAATAATAAAATTTTATTAATATATTTAAAATTATAAGTTTGAATTTCAAATAAAGTAAAAAGCATGATAATTGAAATTTGTTTTATAAAAGTTTCTAAAATGTTTAATATTTTGGGAAGTATATCCGTAAGAAGAATCGTACCATCTTAATTTCAAAAAATTTGGCAAGTTTATTAATGAGATAAATCTGGTTAGATAAATGATTAATTAGTTAAAATATTATATTAGTTATATTTTAAAAAATCCAATTAAATAAATGTGGATAAAAAATATAATATTAATTAGTTTGTTAGAAATGTGATTATATGGAAGTTAAATTGAAACGAAACCCAAAAAATCTGCTTGTGATCTTTTCTTTTAAATGTTTGAACTTAAAAATCTGATAACCAAATTTAGATTATATCACATAAGAAAAAAATAAATAATAAATGTTTCTTAATATATTTAAAATATAATTCTGAATTTCAAATAAAGTAAAATGCAGGATAAATTCAAATTTGTTTTCAAAAAGTTTTAAAAATGTTTAATATTTTGATAAGTATATCTATAAGATAATCTTGTCATTTTAATTTCAAAGAATTTGGCACATTTGTTAATGAGATAAATATGCTTAGATAATAATTTATTTAGTTAAAATATTATATTAATTAAGTTTTAAATATCCAGTTAGATAAACGTGGATACAAAATATTATTAATTAATTTGTTAGGAATGTGATTATATGAAAGTTAAGATAAAATAAAATGTACCCACAAAATCTGATTGTGATATTTTCCTTCAAATATTTGAATTTAAAAATCTAATAATCAAATTTAGATTATATCACATAAGAAAGAATAAATAATAAACATCTATTAATATATTCAAAAATATAACTTTGTATTTCAAATAAAGTAAAGGACGGAATAATTAAATTTGGACTAGAATTCTGCTACAGTGGGAGTTCTAAGTGGATTAGGAACTTGAAGGCCATGACTGTCAACTTAGAACTTGAATTTGCCACCGCACGACCTGAGGGTACTTTGTACCATCACACGACATCATCTTGGAACTTAAATATGCCGTTGCACGACCTGAGGGTACTTTGTACAGTTGCACGACGACATCTTGGAACTTAGATATGCCGCCGCACGGCCTGAGGGTACTTCGTACCGTCGTATGGCCTGAGGTCGTTTAATTGGATCTTAAATATGCCGCCGCACAACCTCGTGCCATCGTTGACCTGAGGCTTTCAACTGATGCAGAATAGTATCTATTATTCTTGGTACTAGAATATTTGACATTTTAATTAGTATTATTATATTATTATTCACATTTAATATTTGTTATTTGTGTTTAGTCTTGGTGAGCAAATTATTATTAGGGTTTAGGAGTCTTATATAAAGAACTCTCTCTCTTTTGTTCCTTTTAGTTGATTTTGAATAAGATATCATATTTAAGATAGAGAAATCTCTTCTCTTTATTCCCAATCATACGCTAAGCTACATCACAAACTTTGGCTCGTCGGCCCATAGATAATTTGCTTGCCCGAGGGGCTGGTTACATAACAAATCTCTATTATTTTCTTCACATAACCAATTCCGATTATAACACATAACATAGCTCAATCATTGGCCCCGTTTGGTAGATAGCAGATTGAAGATAAATTAGCGGATTGGACTTAATTGAGAGGTTTGACCCGTCAAATCCGCCATTGAGCTTGTTTGGTAAATAGCTTATTTGATAACTTTTTGGGCTTAAAGCAGCTTTTTGGGAATAGAGGATTCACAATTAAGAGGTTTTACTTGGAACTTTTTAATTTGTCTTATTTATTTTACAATTTACATTGGTTTATGGAGCTAATAAATAATAATATGTCATCCATATGATTAATTTATCTAGAAAAATATAAAATTAATAACTTCTTCATCAAGTGTTAGTAAATTTAAAAATATATATATATATATATTTATAAATTACCAACTAAAGAATATTAAATGTTTTAATATATTATTATTAAAAGAATAAACCTTAAATAATAAAATGTCCTTATTGGTCATAACCGCTAATGCAATCCACTGGACAAATAACTAATATAATCCGCTTTGATCGCCAAACAATAATTCAATTCTTATTCTAACATAACATATCACAAATAAAATACCTTGCGAATCAAAAGGAATAAACTCGTAGTAAATTCCCACCTTAATTGCAGAATGAAATGATGAATGAATGGTCGATGCTCATCTCAAGAACTCGACTTTTTGAAATCTAAATGGAATCACTTAACATAAATATAATATCTTACTTAATGAATTATTAAAATATTTTTTAAACTTAATTAATTAATTTTCTAGGCTCGGTTAAAGGTCTCGAATTAAAGACTCAAGGTTCGGCTAAGACTCTTTATTAGTTATCGACTCGATTTAAATTAATTAAGGCTCGGAAAACATGAGAAAAGTTATCGACTCGATTTAAATTAACTAGAGCATCACTCGGAGCAAGTAATCTGCCAATGCCTACGATTCAACAGTTACTATGATCGAAAGAAATACAATCCATCATTGTCCTTCAAAATGCAACTAATTAAACATTGATCTTTCCATGAAGATATTACAGCAGAAAAGTTTCATCATCAAAATCCGTTGTCCATCGGATCAACTTCTCTATACCTGTCAGTCATCCTATTGGCAACTCCCAAGGCAAGCCATTTCCAATAGTAACGTTTCAACGGGTACAAAAGTGTGAGGGCATCACAAATGGTATCGAAATAGTGAAGTGGATTATTTGTCAAGCTTAGAGAATTGACTCCATCTACAACCTCAAGACATGGCTCATAGCCCTGATATGCGAGCTCGAGGAGCGTGATCAAAGCAAATCCATATTTATCTTCGCCAGCAGCCAGTATCCCCTCAACTTCATCCGCAAGCATATCGAAGCCATGAATGAATGTTTCTACAGGAAAAAGTTCACAAAAGAGGCGATCCAGTTCTTTGCTAAACCTGGTGATGTCCACTAGAGAAGAGATTCGCCGGAGGTACAGCCATGGGTTTTCAACTGTGGGATAATCCAAAATGTATTTAATCGCTTGTTCAAACTCCTCCGCAAACGGCGAGGAGGATACGAATTTCACCACAACATAGAATCTCTGTTCCCAGACAGCCTTGCTAGTAGGGTCAGCTATAATGAGTTCGTTACAGAGTTGAAGTTCCTCGTCCCATCTTCCCGTGCTTTCGATGGCCTTCTGTCTCTGAAGCCAGGCATAACAATGTTCCCTGTCCTCGGCTAACAATTTCCTTGTGTAATCAAGTTCTTCTTCAACAGAAAATTCATCCTTTTTAGCCTTTATCCATCTGTCTTCCCAAAAGGTAGGGTTGTTCTCATCATACGCTGCGCTGCTGGAGTCGGTATCCTGTTCATGTTCAGAGCCACTGATGAATCGACGCACCTCATCCGGTACTTGAGAATTCTCTCTCCAGAAACCATTAGTTAGGCCCAAAAAGTCTTCAAATTTACAACCCCTAATTATCCTCGCCGAAATTGTAGAAGCAGGGCGCAAGACGGAGGTAATTGCGCCGGCGACTGCAGTGTTGTTGCTTTCCAAGACCACAGCCACACCGATGGACGGCCGACTACTCTCAGTTATGGACATTATGTGCCGCCGCTGCGACAACTCCAGATCAAAACCCACCCGGCCACCCGCCTTATTAGTATCTTCTTCTTAAAGAGAGGGATTCACTGTTAGGAGCATGGAGATGCAGGCGAGGGCAAAAACAGAAAAAGGCGGGGAACCAAATCCTTAGGCTAGGGCCGAAAAAAGGGAAGATCGTTGAGATGGCCGGATCTTAAGGGAGCTAGGGCCGAAAAAAGGGAAGTTCGTTGAGATGGCCGGATCATAAGGGAGCTAGGGCCGGCTGATGAAAACTTCTCCAAACCACACAAGGAAAGAGATGGATTTGGGCGGGTCTCTTGCAAACATATGGAAGATTGGGCTGGCTCCAACTCTTTTCCTTTATCTCTTCTTCTTTAAATTAATTAGGAAATAGATTATGACAATTACTGAATTTAAAGTAAGTCAATTAGGTTAATTGATTTAATTATCTTATTTAGGATAGATTTATTATCTTAATAATTTTAAGATTACTCATGGTAGTAATATTAAGTTTAAATATTTTTTATAGTTTATGATTAAATTTTAGAATTAATAAAATTACTCAAGCTTAAGTAAATAAAGTCTAGCTATGCTTAAATAAATAAACACCCGATTTAATTTATACTAAATTAATTAAATCGAGCTTTGACTTACTTAAATAGTACATAGCGCTACAATCTACCAACCTTAAAAATATTTTTGTCCTTGAACATACAAGACGTACCTTGATCTTGTCTCACTCCTAATTTCTTAGCGGACAGAATGGAACCTTTACATCGAAAGAAAACGTTGTTCCCTACGAGATAGATGCCATGATGGTTCCGGCCACAGGGCTTTCAGGGCCCGATAGCATCGAGGGTAAAGCTCCACATAAGGCTAATCCGATACATCCGATTGCCTATGTTCGTCTTCGGGCTCCTCCCATTTTAGCTTACCTAGATTTGCAGCCGGCTGTGCTGCTAGTGGCTTCAGGTCGTGATTCGCTGTAATATGTTGAGCTATCTGGACGGTTTCAGCATAAGACAAGGTGCCATGGCTCACCATGAGGTGTCTGATCTCCGCCTTGAGACCATTTCTGAAATGACGGGCCTTCTTCTCTTCGGTATCCACCAGGTGTTCGGCGAAGTAACTCATGCGGGTGAACTCCCGCTCGTACTCGTCGACGGTCTTGTCGCATTGCCGGAGGTCCTAGAAGTGCCGCTCCATCCGTTCACGGTGTTGTAAATATTTTTCCGGAGTAGAATCTAAAGATTCGAACACCGGGTCGTGTCTCACGAGGAAGGTTAGCCGGAATATTCTATACGTTTATTCAAAAAACAAGTAAAAGAAATAAAGATCCTAGACATTCTAATTCAAATGATTTGGTTTGTTTATTAACTACGAAGAACAACTTCAGATAAAGCAAATGAAAATAGTAAGCAACGTCGAAGAACAAATAGGATTTAAGGAGCTAGGGAGTCGGGGATATCCGTTTTGGTTCGAGTTGTGACAATTGGGCAAGTGATCATTCGGTTAAGTGATTTGAATAATTTTGCTCGTTCAAGTACTCATCCTCAATAACTCTTCGTAACAAGAGAACAAACTTGTACGGCAAAATTAACAAGTCATTTAACTCCTAGGCAATACAGTTACGAACAAGCCTAGTTTGTACGAGCCTATTTCGACCGACTCCTCCCCTTCCGGTTCTAAGAGTCGATTAGATTAGACTAGAAGGTTGTCAACCGACTAATCAATAAGAATAACCATTATCATGCGAGAATACATCGAATTCAATCGTAGATTGGAAATTGAAGTGTCACTCTTCAATAATTCTCAATACTCAGGC